CCCCAAAACCCCAAAACCCCAATATTTAATATTAAAGATAAATATTTAGGAAAAGAAGTCAATAATTTAATAAATGAAAATTAAAAAGGATAAAGAAGCCAAGACTGAAAAATAAAAGCCTGTAAGCAAAAAGGAGCAAGAAAAGAAATAAACTGCAGCAATTGTAAAGGAAAAAGAAAAAGTAAAAATCAAGGACTAACCTAAATCCAAAGATAAAAAGAAATAGCCTATTCAGACTACTCTTCCAGTCTCTATGATTGGAAAAAGATCAGCTAGATAAGAGCCAGCTTAATCTAAAATTAAAGAAATTCCTGAAGAAATTCATTTAGAAGAAGAGAACAAGGAATCGAAGAAGGGTAAAAGAGGAAAGAAAATATGTCCATAATGCAATGACTATGTTCCAATTCATTCATAAATATGCAAAATATGTAAGCATGAATTTCACATGAATCATAAACCTAAAACACCTAAACCCCCTCCAGTTGATAATTTCTAAGGAGAAGTTTATCTTTCATTTGATCAAATGTAAAGATTGAATTCAAGTGTCTCATTTACTTTACAAAGAAATAAATTCTATGGTAATCTTTCTGCAAAGCATGCTTACGCTTAACATTAATAGAAGGAATGTGAAAAAATTAATTCTGATAATAAGAAAAAAGCAGAGTAAAAAGAGGAATAAAAGGAAATATAGGATTCTGACTAAAATGCAGATGACAATGATGATGTCGAAAATGATTCTCCCGTTAAATCTCATCTTAGAGCTATTCAACTACAATAAGATTTAAAAACTTAACTTAAAAATCAAAACTATATTAAAAAGTCCTTAAATCAACACTATACCTGTAAATACATTGAAGATCTCTAGAATTAAAGGATTTCCTATGAAAATATTAAAATAGATCAGCCTATCAAAGAAGATGATATTGGAAACATAAAATAATAGGAAATCATATATGAGAATATTAAATATTCTGCCATTAAAAAAAGTGCTACACAAATAAATGATTAAATCTGTGCATATTCATTTGGAGAAAAAGATAAAACGAAAGTTATAAAAATTCAATGGATTCAAACATCGTCTAAAGAACAGAGATATATACTAGCTTAGGTAAGAGAATCAGAAAAAGATTACTTGATAATACTAAAATATCAAAGAGAATTGATTGAATTAAATTACAAAATTTGCATCTAAGCTGATAGTCTTACAGACTTTGATGTTTTGAAATCTTATTCAAATACATAATCAGAAAATTTATTAGCAACAATAGCAACGACTGAAGATGGAAAAATCAATATTTATAATCTCCCTTTATCAATATCTGGCGAAAATGCATAGTCTAAGGAAATAAGACTTAAGCCAATTTAAACATACAGCGAAGATGATGAGCTAATAAAATTTTTCAAAGTCAGATGGTTACCGTTCGGTAAGTGCAATCAGTTAGCAGCAGTTGATTATCTGGCGAATATATTAATTTATACTGAGGGAGTCTGTACTCATATAAACCTTAATGCTCATTCTAAGATAATAACAGATATACAATGGATGTTTTCATTTGATCTAAGCCTCAATTTGAATGTGGAAATTCCAAGATCATATATAGTAACTTCTTCGATGGATGGTTATCTTAAGATCTTTGATTTAGATGATATGTTTGTACCAATCTACGAATACTTCTCTTCAAAGGTAAGATCAATTCTCTTTTTTAATTTTGCAATAGAAATGGATCTATAATATTCACTGGGATCCTACTATTAATGCTTTATTTTTCAATTCTGAGGGAAAATATTTTCCTCAGAAGATTTTATGCTTTCATCAGAATTAGATCATCCAAAAAAAATTCAACTTCTTTTCTGAAAACATAATTAATACCTGGTCAAGTATCTATGATGACTTCATTTACTCTACTGGAATCAACGGTATACTCTACAAGATTTCTAAAAAGGTAAGAACACTAAGTTTAATGTATTATTAGGATATTTGCAGATTGCTAGTTAAGCAAAAGGAAAAACTTAAGAATATATCAGTTAAAAAGATCGTATCACTAACAAGTACTGATTTTCAGCAGAAGATTTAGATACAATAATTTATCGATAAAGAGGATCCAAACGAAAATTATGTATTATTCACTAATTATTTTAAATGCTTTAACTCTAGTTGTATTCAAAGAATGAATGTGCTATTGTTTCATTTGATATTTCAGAAAGTGCTAAGTTTAATGATCAAGATAAAATAATGGCTATTGTAATGAGAAACAGCAATTTATTAGTCTTAATTAAACAATATTGAGTAATTAATATTAATTTCTTCAAATATTTAGTTAGTTATGGGGTTTTGGGGTTTTGGGGTTTTGGGG